TTTCTCCGAGATCGATTTGGTCCGCTCTGCCGCCAAGAATTAAATGCAAGCGAATCCCGCCTCGAATCCAGCGGGAACCCTCTCACTAACTCTCCCCCTCCTTCGGGTCGCAGCCGATCGCTGACATTTACCCCCCGTTAGAGGTGGATTTCGCCAATTAGCTCCGCTCTGCACCTTTCCCTCTGCCACACTTGGGCTGCGCTAATACCCCCTAGATGGCGCCAGGAAAGTATCTTTGAGGTTCTGCGTCAGGCGTTACAATATGTATATGCATATAATATTTATTTATTTTTAAATGTAGCTAATGTTAAACACATATTTACTAATTTAAAAAATATTCTTTCTTAGGTTTCTGATAATTTATCGTCTAAATATTATTGAAACATCAAAGAACGACTAATCAGCACTCCACAAAAAAATATTTAAAAACACTATATAGAGTTCTAGGGTTTTTGAGGATATTATGAAACCTCTGCCTACTGTGGCTCCCTGCTTTTGACTCATCAGAGGCAATTTTAAAATCGTTAGCCTGCCGACAGTTCCAACAGGTCTCCCCCGGAACCTAACCCTCCTTCCCTTTTCTTGGCCACAAATCCACTCTGTTTTCTAAACCGAAATTCATTCTTTTTGCCAATTGTTATGCCGGACACGTAGACCGGGCTGGGCAAATGCAATGCAAACTTTTGCACAAATTAACAAATTTTGCCAAACACACGGAAATAAAGTTCTATTTGCCTATGTCGCACAGTTTGTTTATGCTGTAGCCTTAGGTGGGCTAGGGAATAGAATTAAATAGGAAGGATATTGAGAATGGGCAGGCAGGAGATGTGGTGGCCTGGGACAGGCCGCAAATGCTGCAAACAATTGTGTTTTTCTTTAGTAAATAACCGGACAAGTAGAGCGGGCTTTGACACTTTTTGCGGCATGCAAATTTAATTGCCAAATGCCTGAAGGCGTGCCATTGCAGCAACGACGAGTATTTGATTAAATTATGAATTTTTATTTGCTCAGGATTTGTTGCATTTTAAATGATGGCAGAAATGTTTTTACTAAATTCATCCCAACATTTATTTATGAGAGAGCTTTTCTCGAGCCAAAACCAAAATCCATATTCTTATTCGACCAAAACAAAAATAATTACATTTTAAATTGGCAAAATTGTGATTCATGTCTTTACACAAAGGATCCCAAATCCTGCCGTCCCGTGACTCGCTTTCCGGCCTGGTGACAGCCTCTGAGGATTGACATCTAGTGCTTCATGGTTCTTCATTTATATGTTGATGACAAAATTTGCAAAGCAATCTAAGGCTTCTTGGCCTTCTGGGACGGCGCCGCCAATGAAAGCGAATACTTCGAGTGGCAGAGAAAATTTTACGTGGCACAAGTGATGGTAAAAAAGGAAATTCTGGTTCTCATTGAGTCAATAGCAAAGAAAGACACGAAAAAAGAGGTTAAGTATTAATTATAAATTTAAGCTTTGGGCAAATTTTAAGTTCTTGGCAGTATATAATTTTCAAATATTTTATATTTATCTTTGTGCCTGAGAAAAAGAGACCAAGGTCATCTTGTTCTTTGTTACTTCTATACTTTTCTTTAAATACTTACTTTTTATATTTTTACATTATTTATTTCAAATATTTTATATATATTTCTCAGCTCCAAAAGGGCATTACCAAGCTCTTTGAAATCAAGGTCCAAGAAGCACATGATTAGTCGGAAAACTAAATAAAAGGCGATGCCGAATGGGGCGGACAAGGTTATTCATTAGCACTGATGACCCAGTTGGCAGTGTCATCGTCTTCACAAAAGATCCAAACATTACCATAGCACTTGACCAAGAACTAAACTAGGGCTTGGCCAATTTTTTAAAGCATTTTGTTTAATAAAATATTCAAGTAAAAATATCTCACTTATACTAAACTATACTATATAAATGTATACTATTATTCCAAATAAAGGAATTTGTAAAGAAATATATTTCTTTCTAAATAAAATCTTAAAGAAACCAAGCAAATCATCAAGCAGTTTTATAATAAAAATAAGAATGTTAAACTATCTTAAATAAATATCTAAATAATTTATAAAAAATCCTTATTTCTAAACATTAAAAATTAAAAATGTTTGGAGTATGGAATATCAAAAGTAACTTAACCAAATTTCTAAGGAATTTCCTAAGAAATGTATTAAAGAAAATCTTACAGTTATAAAGTAAATTAGTAATCAATTTTGAAATTGAAAAATAAATGATTTACTATCTTAAATAAATATATCGTAAATTATATGTAAATAATAGAAAAGAATCCCCAGGAAGTATATCTAGTATACAAAATTATTGTGAAAGGAATACATACAGTAACTAAATCTTACATTAAATGAATTTCTTAAGAAAAAATTGTAAATCTATTAAGAAAATTATCAAGTAATTTATAAACTAAAAACAAAATAATTTGGTAACCTAAAAATATATCTAAATAACTGTCAAAAACCTCCAGAAAGCCCATTACTATAATTTTTCTAAATAAAATATCGGAATAAGAAAGTTCAAAGTAACTTAACCCAATCATATTTTTTAAATATATATTTTTATATTTAAAAAAAAATATTAAAATAAATAAATATTAAATTCAAAAAAAAAAATTTCTATCTGAACTAAATATTTAAAAATTTGAAAAACCCATAGAAACTTTATTTTGAGTTGACTAAATATTCCCCTTAGCTTAGATGGTAAGGTCATAGTAATAAATGTAAACAACATAGAAATACCCTCCCTCAATTAAGGTTTCTGCACTTTTCTTCTTATCATTTTTTGCTTCTTTATTAAATTAAATTAGAAAAAAAAAACCCCTGACCAGCAAAGTTTTAATTACATAAACAAGTTAGCCAGCACAGTCTCATTTGTAGATCATTGTTGACACAAACAAGTGTCTCCCAGGAAAAGGAAAGCAGGAAAAAAAAATTAAAAAAAAAGGAAACCGGAAATCTCATTTGTGGTACATGCATTTTTAATTCGCCAACATGGGTATATATTACTATAGCTATAGCTTTAGTGGCCAGCCAAGAGTATGCAATAAAATGCGTTCCAGTTGCCATAAAGATGGCTCCTGCAGACAAACGCAATTTCGATGCTTTGCTTGTGTGTACTTGAAATAGATTTTTAATAGTCCAACTGACACAAACAAATAAACATGGACTGCCGCTCCTTTTCAATGGCATTGCATTTGTACTGGAGAGCCTTTTGTTTGGCAGTCGGAAGCATTTATGCGATTTTGTCGTTGGACCAAAACACGAAGATACACCCAAATGCATTAGATAGATACAGCTGCAGATACAGATACAGATACAGAGAGGCGGCTGCATGTGTGCCATTGCAAATACAAGTTTATGAAAAATGTCATTTGTTTGGTCCACACACAAGATATGAAGTATTTATGGGGCACAGAAAGAGAGTGAGTTGTGAGCACTGCAAATTTGCTGTTGTCGAAATGAATTAATGTTTAACTGGAAACAATTTTCTTTTGTTTTCGACTCCCTTTTTGTCCCCCAGTGGCAAATGCAGTGCGTTTCACAGACATATGTAGCTGTCAGATGTGAAATGGGGTTTGGTAATTTTTCAAATTTTAATAATAATAATATTACTTTAATGTAAAGATATTATTAAAAATTAGAGTGAAGGATATAAAACCAGATTTTAAAATAAATAGGGTCTTTAAAACCGTAACAGATTGTACAAAATTAGTCTGGAAAATATAACTTTATAGATAACACAAATTAACAAATTAACACTGAATTTAAATACTTTTAAAACCTATGAATGATTTCTAAAGTACCATAAAAAAGTGTACAAAATTAAGCTAATAAATTGTACTTAATTTAATTAATAAATTTATACTGAATTCAGTACCTTAAAATTACATTGCATACTTTTAGGCACTTTTTAAAGGGTTTTTAAAATCCCAAAATATCTTAAACACAAAATAAAGCCTATCCTTATATAAAATTCATATTCTTTTCAAATTTCTATTAAAAACAAGTCACAAAAAGCACAACTTTTTTGCTATGAAACGCACTGTACTCGAGATTGATGCACTTCCGAAATGACCCAAGTAATTTGCTGGCCCAATATTTTGTGGTCCTTTTGGCCATTTACCAGGCGAACAACGAGCTGGCGGTAATAAAGTGCCAAATAAATGCAATAAAGCTGTTTGGAACAAGTCGTTGTCGAATTCGCAATTGGTTGGGGTTTTTGTGGAACAAGGTTTTTAGAGGGGAAGGGAGGAGAGAGGGTGTGTGTGCATATAAATGTTTTCTTCTTCCGGCTTTTATTACAAAACACACTCAAAAACGGGCAAATAAAAAAAAAATGCAAATAAATAAACGCAGCGAACTGCCGAACAATTGAAAACTTTCCCACAACGGAGCGCTGGGACTTAAGTGCTTACTGAAGGAGCTGCAAAACGGAAAGATCCTTAAAGTGAGCTCAAGGATATAGCTGGTGGCTGGTGGGGTGGCTGGTTGGCTGGGATTACAGGCAAATTGCAAAACGTCTTTGCATGTCTTAAGCAAGCACACAGACACTCGGGCCAACTAATTTTATTGCTCAACACATTCGTGCCTTGTTTATTGCCTGGCTACTACTTCTAGGACCCTCCTCTTTCTCTGCCTTTTACTACAATTCTTCCTGGATTGGTGTGCAAAAAAATTTAACAAGAAAATTGTTCAAGTGTCTCGTCTTGAGCGTTCCGATGAAGCCATTGACTGATGGTCGTCTCTTAAAGAGGTCTTGTTACTTTAAAATTTATTTTTAACTGTTTAATTTTCACCTTGAAATAAGAAACCCCATTTAAAACTGGTTGGAAACCTACTTACATGTCAGTTAAATTTCTAGTTCGTTGGTCAAAGGCAATATAAAATCAAGGCAGGCCAGTCGTCTACAGCTGACTGACTAAGCAGAGCCTGTAACATCGAAAAAAAATCGACATTAGCTTGTTAGTCAGGTGGATTCAGCAAATATGCCGCGCAGTTTCAGCAGGTTTCTATCGAATCGCTACAACGACGAGCAGAAAACCCTCAACAAACGCCATGACGGTAAGCTTTAAATACAAATCAAACTCAAAATATAACAATTCATAGTAATTAACCATTTCAGCTTTACTTTCGGACATATCCAACACTCCCCGATGCCGGAAGTCGCGTTCTACTCTCTGCCATAAGGCCAGGGCTATGACCAAATTGGAATCCAATTTTAACAAAAGATTCACCTTTCATTACGGCAAGAGACAGCCCAGCAGTGATTGGCGCCAGGGTGACAATATACCCATTGTAGTTCGAAGGAAAATGGAGGAGCAACTGAACGAACAGCTAATGGAGATCCAACCGATCTCGGAGGACCAAGTGATTAGTCACACCATCTGGAGGGTGCAAATGCCGGATGAAATTCCAGTAAGGCCCAAAATTTACAGCAATACCAAAGAGAGAATCATCACAGCGGTGGCCTTACCCAAAAGGCGTTGTGGTAGAAAACCTAAAATTAAAATAATAGCTCGGCAAACAGACAAGTCTGATGCAATAGAGCCACTAAAGGTGGAGGAACCCTTACCTTTGGTAAAGAAATTAGTGGAACGACGTCATATCAAACAGAAGGGCGAACAGTTGACCTGCAGCAACTGCTCCAGGACCTTCAATCACTCCTGGATGCTGGTGGCTCACATGCGCGTCCATACCGGCGAGCGACCCTTTGTGTGTCCCGAGCAGGATTGCCAAAAGTCCTTCTCCGATCGGTGAGTGTTTTATGTCAGGTTTAAAAAAGATATGTACACATTTCTATTTGTTTTGTTTTTAATTTGAAAGCAACATAAGCTTGACACAAAAGTAGGCTAGAAATGGTAAACGAAATATTTATAAATCTAATTTTAACTTTTTTATATTTATAAGGAAGCTATTTATTATTTATTTATTGATATTCAATATTTATTTCTGTATATCAAGTATACGCCTAGTGTACCACAGCACTAAGGGGAACTAGGTATAAAAGCAATCGAATTAAATATTTAAATATTTAACATATTTACATATTATATTTATTAATTATAAAAAATATTTACAGATCCAATCTTCGCACACATCAGCGCTCAATGCGCCACCATAATTGGGAGCATCAGTGCGGGCAGTGTGGCAAGTATTTCAATCAGATTTTATATTTAAATCGGCATACATTAGAGTCCTGTCGCAAATACCTGATGATCGCAATGCACAGGAAGTCCTGAAGCCCAATTATGCTTAGTTTTTTAATATATTATTACATAATTTTTAAACAAATTGATGTTTTATTTAAATAATCTTTTATGAGATCAAAATCCAGTCTAGGATATAAATAAATTACTGGCATAAGCCTTATAAGCCGCGACGGCTTACACTTAAGTCCCTAAATGGGGCTATTAAGCATCAAGCTCAAGGATCAAATGGCAGCACATGGCACTCATGTGTCTGGCGAGAAATGTTTCCACAGCAGAAACAGTTTAGCAGGACTTTGAATCCCAAATGAAGCCTTATCTGGCCACTAAAATCAGTGATGACACTACTAAAAACTGTCTTTGAATTAGACTAAAGATTTAAATGATAAAATAAAGAAGAAATACGAATTTTAAAAGTGATTATAAAATAACAAAGCTTTGCTTCTTTATACTTTTAATATTATTATTTGCATTAGCATACATTTATTTATAAAGCTTTCTTTGATTCTTAACTTAAAGCCAAACAAGTTATGAAGTACTAAGTTGTAATATCAAGATACTGATAGATCCATTGCGATATGGAGGAAACCATTAAGGCTATCAACAGCAACCTGACACATTCGGCTGGCTAGCAGCCATTTTCCGTTGGTCGCCTATCCACTTAACATTTCAAAGCAAAACGCCTCCGCCTCAGAACGTCAGTTGGCCCAAACGTATTGGCAAAGTTTCAAGTATCGCTTGGCCCAGACCAAGTGTACACACCCACCAAAACACACGCACACCCGATGCGATTGCGTTCAATGCAACTAAATTGGCTCATTAGCAAACAAAGTGCGGCAAGGAGTTGGGGGGGGGTTGAGCCAGGAATCGTTTCTTTGGACAGCCAAAACGATTTCCCCAGGAGTGTCTACGCGCCGCCTCGTCAATTTGGCTCAATTTTCAAAAGTTCCAAGTGCAAAAGTGATTCAGCGACTAAATCAAACAATGGTCGATGTGTGGAGAACACTGGCAATAATTTTGATAAGGTAAAACAAGGAGCACACTGGGGAAAAGTTTTAAATTTGAAAAAATGGGCCTGCAACCATTACAGTGACATTGCTGACGAAAATTTTCAGTATCCAGCAGAAGCCCGGCAAAGAAATTTGATTAGTTATAAAATAATATATAAATACTACTCTCTTGATGACTTTTTATGAATTTAAATTCAAAATTTTATTTACTTTATATTATTTCAAGTATTAAATAAGCTTGAAATATCTTTTACACACAATTTATAATCAAAAAAAAGAAAGAAATTATAAAAATATATCAATTTTCCTAACTGCAATTGTCACAGTGCCACTGTTTAATTTTCATCCCGAAAGTTCTTGCCACATGCACACACACTTCTTCTGGACAATTAATGATCCTGTGGAAGCAGGGGCACGGACATGCTATCTCTTTAAGGAGACGACTTCAATTGCGGTTAACCCCGGCCGCTGTGTAAATCCCACATTTGGCGGCAGCAGCTGCACGGCCAAGTGGCACGGTCGCAATGCAAACAGTTCGATGCAATTCGGAAGGACGACGACTAATGCCTTAATTTATGGTCGCCAGATAAACATGAAATGATTTAAGGACCCCCACCCAACTCACCTCCCTTCACAGTGTGTGTGTGTGTAAAGTGTGTGTCCACTAAAATGCAATTACTTAAATGAAAAAGGCAAGGAGACGAACAATGAAAGACGGAGCTCCAAATGTATCGTTTTATTTAAATATTTGATAAGCCCGCGTCACCTAATAAAATTGTAAAACATGAGCTATTTTATTGGGGAAAAAAAGTCTTCCGAATTTTCGTTGCTCCTTTTATATTTTTTTTTATCGTTATCCGACGGATAACTTGGCTGAAAATAAAAGGAGTGGGCGGGAAGTTGAACTAAGTGAATTTTTACGCCACCCTGAACGCAAGTCGCGTGCTGCTGCCTCAAAAAAATAGACACAAAAAATAGTTTTAGGGTTTGAAATTTAAAACACCCTTTAAATAGATAATGTAGATATATTCTACATAAAAAAGTATATATATTTTAATATTATAATTAAAATAAATTATAAATAGAGATACAAATTTACAAGACAATGTAAAATAAATATTACTATATTTTTAAATTAACAAAAAGGGTCACAACAAACCTTTAAAATCTTTTTAGGTTTCATAATAAAAAAAATATATAAATCTCCTTAATTTTATAACAAAAACATTACAAATTCTATAAACCCTTTTAAAAAGGGCAACGAGATGAGCTGCAGCAGCAGCCACATCATTCGAGAAGCAGCCACGGCATCCTTTTCCCGTACGAACGTATTTTTAAACTAATTTTCCAACTGGGAGCATTTCGATGGCATTTAACGTGCCAGCCATCAAGGCGATGGCAGGATACAGCTGCAAGGATCCAAAGAGCCGAAGGAGCCGGTTGCCGGTCAGTTGAGCCGTAAATTATTTTAGCGTTTCAATTTGGCTAGAAGGGAGATGGCATTGGTCCGGGGTCCCATAATAAAGAGAATATATATGCATTTGTCGCTTCAAAGTTACCCAAAAATGATGAGCAAATAAAGTTGACTAATTCAATTGGATTTGCATTTTGTATTCTGCAGTGTTTTGGGGAAAGAGTGTTTTGTCAGAAACTGAATTCTAAATAAATAGAAAGCTCGATAAGCTGGTTAATTTGGATTAAAAGTAAAGCCAAGCATTCGATTAAATAAAATAGAAATAAAAATATAACATTGTATCTAAATATAAGCTTAAAATTCTTAAGAAATTATAATTTTTATATTTGTAAAAGCATTTATATAAAATTATGTTTATTACTTAACTCGTAATTTAATTTCCCATCGTTCTAATTAATTAATCAATTGCCTAAATCACCATTATTGAATCAAATGAGAACCGGTTAAAGTTCAGTTTCAAAGTTTTCAACAACTTAATTCAGTTAATTTAAGTTTTGGCTTATTACCTGGCACAACTTGGCTGCCGAAAGGAAGGCGAATGAAAATGTCATTTATTAGTGCTTCCTCGTCCTGCCACCGAGGGCCATCAAAAACCGCCGTGCAGCTCTAAATTTTGCAGGTCGTGAAAGAAAATGTCAGCAAAGAAGACGCATAGCCAAGTTTTTGGCCAAATTTATGGCCCGTCGTAAGCAACCAACAACACCGCACCGACACCGTCACGTCCTCAGTTTAAGTTGTATTTAAAGGTATAAGTACTTGGCAGGAACTCATCAAATATTTTATTGCCTTGGCATCCGTAAAATAGAAAACATTATTGTATAGAAGCGATTTTAAGGGAAACAAATTGGGGAAGTACTAAATAAATAATTAATAAAAGATTTAATAAACATAATATGAATTATATTAACCTGTAAATAAGTACAACCAATATTTAAATAATTATGTAAATATTTGTACTAATAGCTTAAATCTAAAGAAAGGCAAATAAAAACAATGGGTATGTACTATAGTACATATATGTAAAATTTTTAATAAAACAATATATGGAATATATTAACCTGTTTAAACTTTCAATACATATTTCATGTAATTTGTAATATAATATATGTAATTTAATGTAATAAATATGCCAGATTCTGGGTATATTCCTAGTATTGGTCTTATATTTTTGGTACATTATTACTATTATGACAGCTTAATTATATATTAGGAATTAACAACAAAATGGTGTACACATTTCCTTAGACAAAACCTACTTTTCAGCGGCCTTTTGTACTTTAATTAACATTATCCAAATCGGAAATTAAATGTTTACAAAAAGATCACATTCATTGCAGCTATGAATAAATTATATCAACAAAAAAAATAATTAACAAGGAAAGATAAAAGTAACGATGGCACTTCAATTTATTTTTAGAAATACGCTATATTTTAATTTTACATGTAATATTAAGATAAAATATTTAGCAGCATAGTGGCAAAAATAAAAATAATAATTTGTAATTTATTTAGCGTTGCTCACACCCTTGGTGCTCATCGTCACTACGTGGACAGACCACAGTGATAAGAACCACAGCCTTGGTCTTGATGTTTTCCCATTACCACTTAAGTATTTATCTTATTTGTAAATAAATCGCAGAATATATATTTATTTTCCTTGTGACTTTATCTCTTCCATGATTCACACGCTTTTTTAATAAACTTGGTACTGATCTTCACTGAGTTGCCCTAACAAAGGCGTACTCTCACGTAGCCGAGATCTTCGACACTCCCGGACACTCAGATACCAGTAGTAAAAAAATATGAATAGCACAAATATAAACGCTGGCGCAGAGATAAAGTATTTGACGGGAATGTTATCAATATCCAAAAGCAAGTTGTTGCTGAAAAAATAGAAATTTATCTTAGTAATTTTAGTCTGATATCATTTTCCATCAAACCAGGAAGAATTAAAATTCGAAACTAAAAACAGTTTGAAAAATCAACTCACTAATTCATTATGAGATAATTATTTCACTTATGTATCTGTTAATACTCCTCCGATGAGTTGTTGCAGTGAGTCTGCTTGATGCCGGCGATGATCGGACAACCGGGACTAATCGACAATCGATTCAGGGGCTGAGACAGTTCCCGCTTCTCGTTCCGAGCTCTTTGGCGATCCCGTACACACTGATGACAGTGATAACAACAGCACAGTAGAGCTATCAAAAGCATTACTCCGAAGGGTACTAGTAGAAAGGGATCTAGCTTTAGTTCTAGAGTCTTTAAGAAAGTTAAGTCCATGTCGCAACCGATGCTCAACCATCGAGCAAAAAATGCAAACTAAGTGGGAAGAACAAAAATTAACTTATTTTGCATTTAAATTTTAAAAATTTATCGCAAAACATACACAGAAAGAATGAGGTTCGAAAATTATAAGCTGTAAAAAAAAGCTATGAAAAAATTAAAGAAAGCTGTTATAGAGTTTGACTGACTATGAAATACCCGGTACCCATATCATAGTGGGTGTCTAATTATGTTGGAAAAACTTAAATTAAACAAGGTGGAAGGTAAAGAAAATGTTGATAACTGAATGTAAATGTTGCTGGAAACATGTTGCTTAATACCCAGATATCCTTAGGTACCGGGTATAATTATTTAAAAATTCCTTAAGCCAAGAAATTTAGCTATTAATATTTTTATAAATTTAATAAAATATATTATTATATTTATCATCTATTAAATTTAAATATTTGAAATGGAAAAAATCTCAAAATGAATAATTTTGAACTTAAAGAAAATATATGTATTATAAAAAATTATATAAAGCTAATAAAATTAATATTAAAAATGTCCAACAAATTCAAATTAACTTCATTCCTATATATACACTTTCTCAGTGTATTTATGAGTATAATGTACGTTCAATATCCACATACTTAAGTCGGATGAATCATGTAAACCGCTAAATTCCCATCGCATTATTGCTGCCTTCGCCTCGTTCCGCTGATGACGATGCCAGGGGACTGGCGACCGGGAACTGAAATCTGGGGAATAACTTCGACTATCGCAAACAAAACCGCTAGACAAATGATTTATATAAACATATATACATATATATATATACATACAACTCCAGACGCAACTCAATTCAAACTTTGAAATTGTGCGTTGTTGTTGACTGCAACGCTGCTCCTGACATTTCATGCTTTATGACGAAGTAAAAACCGAAAAACAACCAACAGAAAAATAGATAGATATATGCCAAATCACAACAACATCTCACACGCCACCAGACTGATGAGCAAAGTTTTGGGATTTCATTTAACAATTTTTGACACTGAAAAGGTCAACACTTTTTTTTTAATTTTGGACTTAAAAAGGTTCTAAGATATGTCTTTAAAAAACGGAAAAATTTAAGATAAAATTTAAGATAAAACATTTAAATTAAATAAAAAACCTAGAAACCTAAACTTCTTAAATTTCCTGCATAAAAATTCCTTTCGTTAAAGCTTTTCGTGGCTTTGACCAACTTTAAGATGCCGCAGAATGTTTTTTATATAAAAGAATACAACTATAGATTGAAATATTTTGGCAGCCAAAATAAAAAGAAGGAAACAAGCTGCATTTCACGCATTGGAAATCCTTTTGTATTGCTTAAAATTCTTTCGATGAAATAAAATTGTTTTTGGCCAACTATGTTCCATTGGCCAGTTGAGGGGGGTAAGGGGAATAAGTTTGCAAGCGTAACAACACACAACGCACACAGAATGGATATTTCTCATTCAATTTCGCAGGTGTTTGACTCCATGTCGGAGGTGTGTTTGCCTCGAAAGAGAGAGGGAAAGCCTTTGTCGATTTGAGGCGTACGTGGTTCGTGGGTTCGTCATTTAAGCGGATTTCCAAATGCATCCCGAAATGTGCAAATGGACCAGCGAGACACAGATGCAGTTGCTCAGATACTTTGTGGACCGCAGTTCAGATAGGAAGAAAGGATAAGGTAATATAGGTAAAGTTTCTAAGCGAATTGAATTGTTATTAAAGGAACTATGAATCTATTATTTTAGTTTAGCAGCTTAATTTGCTGGCTAAATTTATGCAAATATTTAAGTTAATCTGAATATATGTCTACATTTCTGTAATTCTTTAATTAAATTAATGGAGACCATTTTCACGCTTTTACAAGCTAAGAATCCCTATTTTTTTATATCGGCACACTTAAATATAAATACCATATTTTTTAACAAATTCTCCCAAGTAAATAGAACTAAATGTAATATGGGAAACCTTTCATTATATACTTTCACATTCAAAGAAAGTATGTATTAATAAATTAAATATTTTTATTTAAGTATCTCAATTATATTTAATTATATATCAACATATCTGAAGAATTCTTTTAATTTCGGAGATTTCAATAATCCCTTAGCAACATTTTTCTTTACCTGGATGTTGCGCAACATGTCCCTAGCAACATTTTCTCTTTTATCGGGCTTTAGCAAAAATTCATTTAAGGATTTTATAAATTTAAGCAAAATTTTACTAAGTTAAATACCCATTTTCTGTGGGTATGGGGTATCTTACAGTCTTACATCTTTCTAAAATACAAATTGCATCAAATCTTAGAAAATAATAATAATAATAATCAAACTGCATCTACGTACATATATATTAAACCTTAAAACAAATTGATTTTTTAAAATATTTTTTTTTTTGAGTAAGTTCTATAAAACTAATATTCAATTATTTACATCAAAATATTACTTATATTACTTTTGTAATTATTTAAAGCCCCGCTGCTTTAAGCCTACCTTTGTTGTAAAATTTAATATACATATATCTTTTACACCTCTACCCGCATTGAATATTGCAAGCAAATATTTGTTTACATTTTCAAAATACTTTGACCGTCTAATCACCACCCCCAAAAAACCTCCTTCCTGTCGCCACAAGCTCCTCTTTTATCGTACTTGAACGTGTTGCATACTTTGTGGCTGCAGCTGCTGTTTGTTTGCCTTTTCCTTTCAGCATTTTATGAGGCACCTCGCTATAATGATGGTTGCCCACAGACACATTACGCGCAACACACCCACACCCACACCAAGCCAAACGCCTTATTTACACCTTGCCGCTGTAATTAGATGCGCAAGTTAAGTTCCAAGGCGTGTTAAATTAATTAAAACTTTCGCTGCTTAAAGTTTTAGCAAAGGAAAAAGTAAATAAAGATCAACTTTAACCCTCATATGAATGGAAGGGATGGATAGTGGATGGAGCGTGCAACAGGAGTTTGGGAATCTCTCAGACAAATTGCCGTAAAGTCAAGTGCAAAAGTGGCAAGTACATGAGTTGCAAGTTCCCCAGTTACAGATTGCAACTTACAGCATAAATCAGAAATAGTTTTGCACCGAACACCGCCCACCGGCCCCATTTGTCCAATTGAACGTCTGCCGATTGTCTATCATCGAAGGCCATCAGCAGACAAGCGTCGAGTTCGGTGGCAACCAATATTTACTCCAGTCAAGTTGCTGTTACTATACTCTCCCTGAGAAGTTATAGGATATTGTAGGGAATTTTAGTAGTGCTGATTAAGACTGAGAGGAAATTATCGAGGGGAAAAGTCTGATATCGAAAGCAATATCGCACTTAATCGAAAAATTGGTTAAATATAATATATCGATATATTAAATAGCGAGACAGGATTCTGCGTTAATCTATAGATTTTATTTAAAATAAAAAATTATATAAGATATATTTAACATGATTTATGACCACCACTATAGATTTATTTATTGAATTAGCAAAATATCGATATTTTATGTTACCAATATATACAATAAAGGGCATTTTATCCCCAACTAAAACCTGATCTAACCTTTCCTATTTTTGCTTTCAATCCTTGGAAACCCCTTATTTTTCCCGCTCATTTTTGCTGCCCCTAAAGAACAACATGCTGCATATTTATGGCATGCCGCAAACGTTTATCTAAACTACATAAAGCAATAAAAGTTAAAAGTCAAATAACTGTAGTACGTTGGTTCCTTCAAGTTAGCCTTGTTGCTCTTTCGGTTGTTATTGTTTTTGCCATTGTTTCGGGGTGTTTTTGTGGCAACTGCTGAAACAGATGCCATCGAGTGAGTCTGCAAAAGTTACGAAGAGTAGCTCCTTTACCCCCCTCTTCCCACCATCCTGCTGCATAAATCCCTTTGGGAGGAGTCAGGACAGGACAGGATGCTCCTGCTTGCCGGCAGCCGACAATGATGGTACTCGTTATGGTTTCGGTTACGCTGGTGCAGCACCTTCATGGAGATGTCTAAATTATGTCAGGTGTTAGACATTAAGAGATTAAGGGATAAAGAGCTATAGCAACTAATTTAATGTGCCAAATTTCACAAAACGTAAATATTTATTAGATTTTTATTTTTATAAATATAATTTGTAATTAGCTTTATGAGAGAATAATCCCTTAGATGTGATATGCCATGAAAACTTTATTTAATTTTTATATTTAATAATTTAGGTATTTAATATTTTATTTTTAAAATATACCCTTAGTTTTCCTATTTCCACCTGCACGATAGTCTGAGCTTGGTAATAATATCCCCCAGTTTTATGTATCTGTTTACACTTACAAGCTGCCAGATCGAACTCCAGATAGCTGTGGAAAATGGAAAATGAGAAGGTCGAACAATCCTAGAGCGTCATGCACGTGCACTGCCCCTGAACCATGTCCTCCTGCTCCTATGGCTGGGTGTACGGTGTATCCTTTTAATCCTTTTGCCAATGCATCGCATTGCCTTGCATCGAGTTTGATTTCACACGCGAGCACAAAAACAATAATATTATGCCACAAACACTCGATGCCAACGAACATGGGCCATGTAATCACACTTGAGCTCCTCGCCCACCCATACACGTACACACAACCGTTGGGAAAACTATAGCAGACACACACTGGCGCATCGGAAAACTCACCCACACCCCCTGAAAGCGTGTGTGTAGCTGCAGTGAGATTGCGAAACTTCATTATATGCCCGTTGACAGACAGCAGCCAAAGCAAATACACTATGCGAAAAGCGAACATAACAAAACAAATTTGTTTTTTTAATAAAAAAATTAATTTATATACAA